GTGTGTGTGTGTGTGTGTGTGTGTGTGTGTGTGTGTGTGTGTGTGTGTGTGTGTGTGTGTGTGTGTGTGTGTGTGTGTACATGTGCCTACTGAGGTCTACTTATCACGGGGCCTTTGTGAACAGCTGTATAAAGATACTGACTCCCAGAGCCATCTTTCATCCTGTAATTGAATAGTGAAGACACAAAGAAATCCACACATTGGCGAGATGTTGAGAAATTGTTTTGTTGATGCTGAAGTAATTAAATGTCTCGGTCGGCCGAGGCTGCAGTGCTCTGCAACACACACTGATGCATTTGTGGGAGTGGGATTCACGTGGCCGGTGTTAGGAGCCATTCAAAGAAAACTTGTCTTGATGGGCTACATTTATAGCTATAGATAAGATGCAAAGTTATGGGGAAAAAATAATTAAAGAGTTTAAAGGGATAGTTCATATCTTTATAAGGGGGTTCTGTGAAGAGGTTATGAACAATTAGTGTCTTACCTGTTGTGGTTAGCTCTTTGAACAACCTCAGTCTGGAAAAACTTTATACTTCTGACTGAATCAACAAACTAACAGCTAGTCTGATTGTGGTAAAGACCAAAGTGGATTGCTGCCATCTTAAAACGTCAGATCATGTTTGAAGTGATGTTCTGTCAGATTGCTATCAAAAGTTAGTACATTATCCCCCGAGACATCAGACATAGGTGGAATATGATGAAAATGGTGGAAGTCTTCTTCCAGGCGAGGCTCAAAGCTGGCCAAACAAAGACCAGTTATTTAATTGTTTTTTTCAGGCTTTTAAAGCAACTTTTTCGGTAACACAACAAACCAGTGTAGAGAATGCTACACTAAATGCACAGTAATGACTGGACATCACTTCAAAAATGACCTTACAATGCCTTTAAATTAACTCAAGTCTCCAAAAATTCACATAGTGCAGAAAAGCATTTAAAAAAAATCAAATATGGATTTTTCAGTTGTTTAGGCACATGCAAATAAACATAGAATCTCATGTTAAAATAATAATAATGCAAATTTGATAGAAATTTGCAAAATGTCGTTTAAAAGAACTGCAATTTTTTAGGTTAAAGTTTATTTTAAAAGTAGTAATCCACTTTGGTCTTGAAGTCAGCTTATTAATGGTCTGGTTAGATTTTAACTTTTTTTTCTAAGTCAAATTGTTTGAAGAGCTATCAACAACAGGTAGGATACTAATTGTTCACTGACTTTTGTTGACTTTTTGCAGAACCTGACATTTAAACATCTGAACTTTCTCTTATGTGGCTGTATGTTGTAAGCATATTTTTTTAAATATCAACCAAACAAACTTTCCACTTTTTGCAATGAAGCAAATAAAATCAGTGAAACAAACAGTTCTCTATTTTGACTAGTAAATTAAAAATAAACATAAATATAACGTTTCTTTGTCACATTGCTAGTCCTCAAAGTATTTTTTTGTATGCGGATGAATTTAAGTAAAACAAAATATTTAAAGAACAAAACAAATTGTGTTCAGTTGTACAATATCTTTTGCTATAACATAATGCAATAAAACAACAGTAAAATATTTTTTCTCATGCTTAATCTCCTCGTCTATTATACAGAACGTCCACAGCCACCCAGGAAGTTGTCCGTTCCTCAGGATGAAGTTGAATCTCTCCGACTCCATCTCTACTGGGTGACAGGAAGCTCAGGCTCCTCTCCGCTCAGATATTTTACTCTGCAGCTAAAGGAGCTGCCCAGCGAACCCTGGAAGACGCACACAGCTGACATCCCGCACAACATGACCTCCTGGACTGTTGACAGGTACGCCAGCGTGCATAAATGCTGTCACGCTTGCATAGAAATATATACAGCAACTTGCTTTGTAATGAAGCTTGTAAGTTGAGCGTAAAAACAATTCTATGAATAAATGAATCAACTGCCCAAAACAACCAGAGTACAAAAAGTTTGAGCATCTTTAATCCCTTTTTACAAAACCTTTTTCTCCCTTTGCTTTAATGTTTTCAGTGTTGCCTGTCCATTCTTTCCTTACAGTTTTTGCCTTTTCATCTGTCATCCCTCTCGTTGTCGCCACTTCCTTCCCTTTTCTCCCTTCATCCATCAACGGTCAGTGCTTTCAGCAACCTTCAGCCCTGCGCTTTTTTCACCCTCCTCTGCCTCTTGAAGGGGGCTTCAGCACTGTTGTTTCTTCCTTTTTACATCCCTGTCTTTCTGGCATCAACCCACCGTCCCTGTGATACAGTCATTAAGGCAACGGGTGACAGTGGTCAGACCGGATAGCTACTCCAGCATTCCCGACAGCCCGAGCAGCAGCACTGTGATGACTCTTCATTGTTCAGAGCGTGTTCCAGTGCTTCACCAGCTWTCACAAAACTATTGGAGATGTTAAACCATGTTCTCTCAGCATGTCTGTTTTACYCTGCCTCGGGGACTGTCTCTCTGCCATTATGGTGGAGCTTCTGTTGATGTTTTGACACCGTTTTTATTTTTAAAGCTCTTTCAGTTATTGAACGCTCTGATTAGGGAGGAAGGAATGAGCTACATCTCGTGCTTAGTCTCATATTTCTTATGCTGCATGCTAATTGCTGTTTCCACAGAGATGTCTCTGGAACCAAAACATCGTGGCCCCCAGGCTGATGATGCACAGACACATTTTCAAACATTGTCCTTAACATCCTCCCACTGCTGTTGGTACCCCACCTAGTTTAAACTCAGCATCTTTGATGTTGTATTCCTTCTTTGTATACAAATCTACAGGGCATTTGCTCATCCCTTGTAATTATACAGGCGGACACCTCTCCCCTGTCGGTTGCTGCTGAATGTCTGACCGGTCTTCTGTAGTCCCCTCGGTATTTTAGAGCCCAGCCATGCATGAATGGGAGTGCACTGGGTTCTCCTTTTTACCAAACTGCTTGGTTTAGCCTGTTTTAAGGAAGGCTGGATGAGTTAAAACAGGGAAGATTATTTCCAACATTTTTTATAAAAACCAATTTGGCCTCAACGTGAGTGAGGTGAAGGCTCAAGGCTGATTTTCTGATGGACGAGTTTACATCAGTCTTATAATAAGCGCCTCTAGAGTTAAATATTTCCAAAATGACTGGTATATATTGTTATTCTGTGTTCATTAAATCATTCACCTTGAACAGAGGAGAAATGCAGATATCATTTTAATATCGCAATAAAAAATCCTTTGACACAGGAGACTGTTAGGAAAGGTGAGGGAAAATTGTTATTCAAGAGCTGGTGTGGTCTTCTAAGGCCACTGAATGAGCAAAACATGTGTTTAAGAAGGTGAGAAGGTTATTTTGAAAGAAACTTAAACCTGAATTAATGAATGCACATAGTGGAGTTTTCAACACTTTTTTGTTTAGACAGCCTCTTGTCATCGCCCTCAAACATATTGACCAATACTATGAATACCAAGATGAGTATCAGAATCAGACTAATGCTACTGTGATAAAATCATTTCTTTTGTTTACACTTTATTTGCATTACTAATTTTATTTTTCACAAATAAAATGAAATTGTCTTGAAGTTAGTCTAGTCCTTTACATCATGCCTGTGTGCAATAGAACGTCATTTTTGTTGTGTTGTTGACATTGTTATGTTTACATTTTTGTTACAACATTGCTCCTTTTTTGTTATTTTCACTAGTAACTTGATCCTTAAACAATTGTGTGAAGTAGAAGGTTATTTTGTTTTAATTCTTTCAGAAAGTAATCATTGGCTTTACATTAGAACCGACTGACTTTTGAAGTTATTCAAATTCAAGATGGCCGCCACAGCTAATTAACCATGTCCACCACATAAAAGGTTATGTTATAAGTCAGCTTTACAAATACTGAGATAAATATAAGTGGTTCTAGCTGAGAGCCGTTCACAACACAAACTTTAAGAGTGACATCGCACTGCATGACTTTGCACAAAACATCATTTTCGAAAATTGACCAAAATGACAAAAAAAAAAACCACTCATTTCTCATCATAAAGTGGTCTTAGTTTAAAACTCTTGCTTGAAAAATGACGGCAATATGCATTCCTTTCAGCTATGCTAGGACGGTATTCTTTATTTATTTTTTGCATTGTGAAAAATCTGCACTGAGGGATGTTCACAGTTTTTTAGTATGGGGAAAAAAGCCTCCAGGGCTAAATGGTTGAAGACTGTAGAGCTGAAAAAGCTCTAAAGTAATCAGTTCAGTTCTTCATGTTTTTTTTTCAAATGTAGTCTTCCAACATTTTTTTAAACAACATAGACATATTCTGGCACATTTAATTTCATGAACCAGTTTTTCCCTTCCACATTCAGAGTAGACATCTCTATGAGTTTGTGTGTGAAAGGGCCGGAGGCATCTAACACACTGCATCACCATGCTGCTCACACATACACACACACATAGGCTCGCTTTTAGTAACAAATTCGTAGAAATAAACATTCAAGATGGATAACGTTTTACCAGAGTTGACTCKAACAGCGCTTGGTGCCACAAGTACTACAGATGTTCCTCGTGCAAGTGCTGAAACACCAGTAATCCTGTCAGAGTGAATATGCAGAGTGCCATTTTCAACTGCAAAGCTTTTAATTCATCTCTGTCTGCCTCTGGTAAATTATAGCTCCCAACACTGAATCAACAAGCAGATTTACTGAAATCAATTATTGATTTTAATAAACTATACTCAGCTGATTGTGTTACCTTATTGGTATGTTTATTTTACTAGTTTCAGTCAAACTGTGCCAGATTTATTTTAAATCCTCTAAGAATTAAATGGTGRTATTAGTGGTTAAAGAGGCTCAAATAATTGTCTTTGTTAAACTACTAATCCCACAAATGGCTTGTTTTTTCTTATGAAGTGACAGTATTTGAATTTGCTTTTCAAGGAAGTAAATATAATAAAAGTTGGCTCAAGTTCTCTGTAAATMATAGTTGTATTAAGTTTTATTAGCAGAAGAAATGGTTCAAAATGGGTCATTTCATTATCCATTTGGAGACGTAATTTTCRTTTGAAACACGGGTAATGAAATTGAAAAGGTACTCTAAATTATGCATAGCCATAAGTATGTAACTAACTCTGCACCATTTTAAATTTTTAAACCAA